CAATACACCATAACCTCAAAGGATGTTGTGAAGAATTCACCTTTCCTGCAAAAGCCAGTAGGTAGACTAGTTGACACTACTTCCCAAAAAAGGTTCCCGAAGTTGGTAGAATCTCACAAGCAGAAATTCACCAACATATAGTTGCAAGAACAGTTTAGTAAAAATACTAACATTCGTCCCTTTCTCCCTACAAAAGAGAACAATTGATTTCCTAGAGAAAGGACAAAAACACAAGTTGGCCTTGGAGCTCAGGAAAAGAGGGGACTGGGCTATTTTCATCTGATAGCTATATGCCTGATGTTCAGCTTTATCAGTATGGAACAATAATCAACTTCTTATCAAAAGACTGAGTGATGGAAACCCCACCAATTGCTTCAAAAACTGACAAGATTTCTATTACACTGAACAATCTCAGAAGATATTTAACCTAATTTTAATATAAAATCCTGTCAGTTCTACATAGCTGAATAGAAAAAGTCACTAATACATAAAGGATATGCAACTATAGTAGATTTTTTTTTCTCTGACTTAGATCTGAAATAAAAGACTATCAAAAAATCTTGAAGATCCAATGCTAGATTAATGCAAATATCTGCCTGTTTGCAAGTGTACTTTTTGATTAAACTGGCATACATCAAGTACAATTAGAAAGGTTATTTATAACTAAGAAATACATAATTCTGCATCTTAATGAGGATGACAATTACAGCTGACAGTTGCTAATTAACACTACTTTTTTTTTTGCTAAGAGTCAGATATTCCCAGTGTGATCTTCATTGTTTTTAATGGACACATTAACTCTGGCAGGCATGAAAGGGTTAATTAATAATAGCTTGTATGTTGGATCAGACCTTTCCTCTAGCTCTAGGGAAAGCCAAAGTCCCTGTTCCAACTTCATCTTTTATAGCTTTGGGTTAGAACTGGAGTCCCTGGTGCCCTATGGTGCTCTGTGATACAGAGACTACAAGATTAAATGGAATCTGATCACCCAAGGATGAGTGAACTTTGACTCTACTTCACAGGATGGACACCATACAAGAAAACTGGTTTCTTCAACTTTCTATCAAGAGCCAAATCTCAGGGCTCTAATCTCAACCACCTACCAGGTGCTCAGAGTGATAGTGACAAAAGACCCCCCCCCTCAGTCCTTTCTCCAGCTGAAATGGAACGTTGCCGGTCCCAGCCAAGTGGAAATAAATATCTTCACACAGTTCAGCTATTCCACCCTCCTGTGCAGAGACGACTACTGTGCTTACTGTCTGGGACAACTTAGAGGTGTCTGATCAATGCTAGAGGCCAAGAAGTGAAATTGGGGGAATAGAGCACTGCAGCTCTCATCCAGGAACACCATAATATCCTACTTACTGGTGCTGTAAATTTCACATTTATTTTGTAAGCATGAGGTAGATGGGATATTTCTACATACAAAGGTGCCCAACTAAAATCAAGATAAGTGATATTAATGTCCTATGGTCAGTATTATTGAACCTCGAAAGCAATAAACTTTATGAGTCGATAAATATTACATTTGCAACATAGTTAACATTCCTCTACTGTCTCTGGCACTTATTACACATTGTAACCGCAAGTCTACAATACATTATTCATATTTGGGGTGTCACCGAGTGATGGATTGCTGTAAGAGAGGCTGTCCTTTAAATAAATCAACAAATAAAAATGCAAATGTTAACATTTTCAGCCACAACTTTTTCCATCTTGAATGGGGAATGAAAATTTCACATTATATCGACAGCCAGCAGAGAGAACAATTAACAACCTACACAGTGAATAAGAGAGATTAATTTGCCAACGTCTGGTTTTATCACCTGCATATGGAACTATATTGGACTTTTCTGGCCGTTAGCTCTCTTCAGGGAAAAAAGGAAAACTTGTCTCCTATCAGCTTCTTCTCTACTCCCACTCTTTTTTTTCCAGTCTTAAAAATGCTTAGAATTCAGGTGTGGATAGGGGAAGTGGCTATATTTTCCCTCTCCTTTGTACCTTAAAATGTTTGTTGGGATGAAAAATAAAAAGTTTCTCTCCCCCCACCCCCCATTAAGAGTTTGTGAGTAACTAAAAAGTTCTCTATAAAAATCATGCACTTTCCATTCTCCATGCTTGAAAATGAAAATAACTAAACCACATCTGATACTGAGATCTGGAAAGCATCTACCTGTGTCTTTTCAGTAACTGATGTTCATAGCTCTGGATCTTTTTTCAACTCTGCATTTTGTATAATGGATCCATAACATGCCAATGTGCACTTCTAAGGAGAAAATCTGGTATGCTACACATTATTTTATTTAGTCAAATACTCATTTCTTAAGAATATTCTGAGTTTTTATATTTGATCTGAACTGTTAGGGACTAACAGATGAAGAAACCTGCTTTTTAAAGCCCATAATAAACACAAGTTTATAAACAATTTTAATACAGATTTATAAAACTCTGCAGGGCTGATATGGTGCACTCAGTATATATTAGGGGTATCCTGCAAAATCTAAATGACAGGAACATTTTAATCTTCTTTCTCATGCTAGAAAGGTAACTATCAAAAAACACATTAGTGTTAAAGGTCTGATTTATGTCTGCAATAGCAAGAAAATTTAGTGTAAAGATCAAAAATCCAGATTATTTGGTTTTTTTTTCTTTCCTTCCAACTGAGCTTAATCCCCTGAGAAGAGATGAGATGAATTCTACTGGAGCTCAAATTGTTAGTTAGAGTGTGGAATATTCTAAATCAAGTACCCTACAATATTTTAGACCAACATGTGAATTTAGTTCAAAATCAGCAAAGTCAAGAGTATGAATCTACTAATGAAACAGAGTAGTAGCACTCTTAACAAGAAAAGTTACAAAAATATGGGCAGTGATGACATTACACACGGTCAATTATGAAAGCCTTAACTTCTGGGCCTTTGTTTCTGTAGCCTAACATTCCTATAAGCACTTTGGCCTATAGTGCATGTCCCTAGAGGTGGTTAAGATGTCACTATTCCCGAAACCAATGGAACAGATTCTAAATATTTCTTTAAAATCATCAGATTTGTAATCAGTAAGCAGTACGTGTTCATTTTGCAAGGTTAAAAGATTGTAACTGGTTTGGATTTTTTTTTTTTTAGAATTAAAAAAATGCTTATGATCCACACTTGTCTGAAGAGATGAAAGGAGTATAAATGTTCAAAACCACAAATATCCTCAAGTAAACATAAACTAAGCCCCTTTGTGGCTAATATTTATCTCAGCATTAAACAGACAGTGAGAGGTAGTATCTGAAGAGATATTTTACCTTATATAAAAAGTTTCTGTCTCAAGAAATATGGTTGATTAAGTGATTAACCCCTCAAAGGTCTCTAGTATCACTAACATGCTGACAGTCCCTTAACTGCTGTACAAAAGCTGCTATAATTCTCAATATTGATTAATTTAGTTAGTTAAACTTGCAGTCTAAGCTTATAAGCATTCAATGATAAATTGGGAAGGACCTGCTGCCCAAGCAGGTTTTCTGATGAAGGATAGGATCAGCTTTAGGTCTCTAAAGAAAGCTTTGTCCATTTACCATTGTCAATTAAAGAAGCCCATGAGTAAGGAAAAGCATACCAAGGCTACTTACCCTGGTCAGATTCACATGTGTTTCAATAAGAGCCTCTCACTGGGGAAAGATGTTTTTAGATGCATTTTGAGATGGTAGAATTTTCTATTCCTTATACAATAAGTAAACCTCTGAAATGCTGTTGCAAGCTAATCACTTCTATTTTTATAGATTCCCTTTCAATAATATAATTTGTGTCATTGTTTATATATAACCATCTAGGAGCCTCCAATGGTGATACAGGAATTTCATCCTCCACAGTGGTATCTGCAGATGTGGCTGTTTTAAATGAGACTAATGTTGCTCTTTTAATGGAGTATTTGTTTTTTAAATGTTCTTTTGTTGTTGCAATGTAGAATTGTGAATATCAGGGCACTAAGTAGGAAATAATCTCCTTCAAAAGATGAATTTCACTTCTACAGGGGAACATATCAAAACCTATCTTAATTATCAGTGGCCTCCCTGATTATATACTATACATTTCCACATAAGATAGAAAAAAATATCACCAGCTTCCCAAGGGAACAAGAGAGACCACCTAAATGTTTACCTAGCTTATGATATACACTGGTGGGGACAGTATAGAGGAGAAGAAAACTGAATGTACTTTCCCACCTTTCATGCTTTGTCAAGGGCTCTTTTCCCTTCGGTTCACCCCCAGCAATTCAGCCAATCATCCTTTGGGTCCAAAACCAATTCAACTTCTATTGCCAGAAGTTGTCATGTAGACAAGAGATATGGTTTTTATTGATTTAAAATTTTCATTAACAAATATGGTACATGTATACACACTCACACATACACATGCGCATGGCCTTGGGAGCTATAATCCCAAAATGAGACAAAGTTATTGTGAACATTATGGCAGTGAAAACAAACCTACTTCCCTTTACTAGAGTAAAAGTGGTATTTCTATTATGGGGAAGCCTCTAGAGCAGGCACACAGTATAATCAAAGCTGCTGACTTAATGTGATTTTGCTACTTGTCATTAAATATAAAATAACATCTGTGTGATATATTTTAGGGAAATTCCATTTGATAAAACTTGGAAAAAATGCAAAGTGATTAAAACCTTCCAGTGGACTTAAGGCCTAACAGGGGTTATCACTAACTGTTTCAATTATTTACACATCTATTAAACATAGCAGAACTTTAAGCATAAAACATATCCATTTAAAAATCTAAGTAAAAACAAAATGTTCTAACTTGGCACATTTCTACTTTTCTTCTTCTAATAAGCAATTTAAAGCTTACTATAAATGTCAAAAGACAGGGCAGTTTAGAGATTATATTATCCCTCTCACATTACAGCATAGCACCAAAGGAACTCGGCTGCTTCCCTCAAATTGGACAGATGTAATGGGTGCATCTGTGGAATGTTACACCAAAGGTTCCCCAGCAGCTTACCTGACAGCGTCATGTTGGAATGGTGACGTAGCAGTGGTTACAAAATCCTTTTGGTTGACTGACATTATAGGAGATGGGGTTGCATCTTTTCTAGCTCCCAACATTGTCCCTGTAGAAAGGAACAAAGGCAAAAAATTCCAGCACTTAATCTAGAAAAGCTGTGAATAGCACATGTGGTATGGCGTGTGACTGAAGAAATCCCTAGACTTACAAAGGTAGGAGATGTTACAAGGGCAAGTAGGAATTTCAGCAAGTTGCTTCAGTTTGTCAGGTAGCACTGAAGAAAGTCAAGCCTTGCCTTTGTTTGAGAAACATGTTTGTGCAATAGCACACCTAATACTTGCAAAGTGTTTAGCACAGTGCTTGGCACAGAGGAGGTATTTAATAAATACTTATTCACTTCCCCTTCCCTTTCCTGCTACTGAGCTTTCCAAAGCTGATGGCTTGTCATATTCCTGCTGATTTGAGTCTACTGTGAATCTACTCAAATAGTTTGTATATTTTGATTTTTATTCCTTTTTTCCCTTTAATTATTACAAGAAAATACCTTTGCTTAACTCCAGAAAACACTAGAAGAATCAGTTGATAGTAAACAAAAGTCCAAAATTTTGTACTTCCAAGTAATAGAAAAATAAAATGAGCAAAAAGTATTGCCAAAGATTCTTGGGTATTCCTGGCTCTTCCAGCACTTGAATAGGATATTTTCAGGCTCTTGGTCCAAAGATCGTGCTATAATACACTCCACAATTCCCTATTATGGGGGGAATTAACCCAGCAAGTTAGTTCCTGGTAATCTTGTGATTTTGGGAATGGCCCTGGTTTCCTGGATTCAAATTCCTAAGCACTAATGTAATTTCTTGAGATCCTTGTAGACTGTGTTCCTTTCTCTAATAAAGTATCCATTTGATAGAAACAGTTTTTGAATCTGTTGATGCCCACTTCTATTTTCCTTTCTGTAAAGCGCTGTGGGTTGAAAAATGGCATGACAGGGGAAAGACCCTTTCTATGTCACCTTCAAGAAAACAAGAAATATCTGGCCTCTTTTCCTAGATGACCTCAGTACAGTCTCCTCATTGGTACCAAAAAAATTGATACCAAGAGAGGTGAAAAGACTTGTTCAGAGTAAGTAAAAAGCTGACCCAGGATTCAAACCCACATCTTGAATCCAAATCCAACAACTTCTCCTCTGCACTCTGAGTTCTTCTGTTTGGCACTTAAAATGCTTCACATTCTGGCTCCAGCCTGTCTTTCCAGGCTGATTGTACATTGTTCTTCCTTTACCTCCAGAATATCCTTCTACTTCACTCCCCACCAACTCCCATTCACAGTCCAAATTCTAGCCAAACTGGCCTGTGTGCTGTTTCCCATATACAACATCCCATCTCCATCTTTTGGAAGGTAAACTCTTCACTTTGTTTCTGCTATTCTGACTGCTTTCAACTCTGTGGAACAAGATGCCCTTCCAAGGATAAACTCATCACTTCTAATTTCATCGCCAGGTTGCTAACTCATGCCTTGGCTGAGACCACCTCCCTTAGCCTCCTCTCCCCTTTGACTGGAGGGCTGGAGGTCAGAGTACCACCTCCTTCCAGTGCCTTCCTTTATAGAGGGCAGAAGCTGCTCTGCTTGGTTATAATTCCATGGAACAAGATATCCCCTGGTGCCCCTTCCCACTCCCTACCTGCCCTAGCTTTCCTGTATTGTTTTGTGTCTTGTCTCCTCCTATTAGTTTGTAAGCTCCTTGAGAGTTGTCTTTCTTTTTATCAATTGTATCCCCAGCATTAGCACAGTATGTGGCACAGAGTAAGTGCTTAATAAACGTTTACTGGATTTTGGAAACCCTAGTTCTATTCCAGGCTCATTTCAAATGCCACCTCCTATATAAGCCCTTTTCTCCAATTTGTTAGTCCTTTCCACCAATATTAAATTACTATGTATTTATTTTGTATTTTACATTTATGTATGTATATATTGTATTCTCCCAGTATAACATAAATTCCTTGAGGGTAGGGACTGCTTCTTTTTTGTCTTTGCATCCTGAGTGCCTAGCATGGTGTCTGCCTAATAAAATGATTGTTGAATAAATGAATGAAAGTAGGATGAGAACCAGAACAGCATGGTGTTATGGAAACCAAGGGAGTTCAGGTCACTAGGTCTAGACACACTATGTATGAAGGTAATAAGAGAACTGTTAAATGTGATTGAGAATTACTATGATCTTTAAAAGACTTCATCAAATGGAAGAGATACCAAAGGACTGGAGAAGAGGAAAAATCCTCACTTCCACAAAAAGGTAGTATCTGCTAGTTGCATACTAGTAGGCTTGATTTTGATTCGTTGAAATATTCTAGAATATATTATCAAAAGGATGGTTTATGAATTTTTTAAAAGGGGAAGCAGTAATCACTAAAAGCCAATATGATTTCAGGCCAGCTCAGGTCAGACTACCATGCTTTTTTTTGTTTTTTGTTTTTTTTTGTTTCTGTATTTTAACTGTTTTATTATTGAAATATTTTCATCCTATCCCTTTCCAAAAAAATTCCACTCATTTTTCTCCCCATCCTGCTCCCCAATAGCCTTCCCTGCCCTTCTGTACTTTATTTCAAAATTCTGCGCTCAGTGGCCATCTTGAAACGTGCTCATTGGGCAGCTTTATCAAGCCATTTGTGAAAGAAGTAGCGGAAGTGGGGGAAAGAAGCTCTGTTCATGGCTACTACAGGGCTTTGGCTACTAGCTCATAGGCCAGCTTTATCTCCTCAGCATCTGGACAGGTAGAGGCAAATTCCTCTCTGGCATAAGCATTGCGCAGGTATCTTTGAACCCCTCAAAACTCCTCTGGGATAGAAAATCCCTGATATTTCTTACATACAACCTGTACAATGTGGAGCTTGGGCAATAGGTTGCAATCAGCCAATATAAGCTCATCACCATCCAGAAACTTTCTGTGGGAGACACCTTCATCTTCTGCACTTGTCTTGTCAATTTCCTCAGGAAGTGGTGATGTCAGATAGTTGTCAAGAACCTTCAGGGCTTTCAACAGCCCCTTTTCCAAGTTGGCATTGAGTGCTGGGTTTGAATTCTTGATGTAGGCAGAAAATTTTGCAAAGACACCTAGTCCAGCTGTGTTGGATTCTGGGTTCTTAGCTGCCAACTTGGGGTATCTAGGGGGACTCAGCACCGCCTCCAAAAACTCTTCAATCTTGTTAGTGTCCATGTGTACTTCAGTGCCATACAGTAAAAATGGAAGCTGACCTCCAGGACACAACTTCTGTACTGTCTCTGTTCTCCTCTTGGTGTCTACAGTGGTGACACTGAAGGTGACACCCTTAAGCCAGAGCACCATGAAAAGTCTTTGGGAGAAGGGGCAGTTCCCAATCTTGGCACCATCACTGCCGGCCATGACGAACAACTCAATCTGTGCCTGCTCTTCAGCCATGGCTGCGACTAGGACCAGGAAGCAGCAGGCGCTGGGGGAACAACCAATCCCGCCCCGGAGAAGAGTACCATGTTTTTTAATAGGTAATCATAATGAGAGATCAGGAAAACTCTAAGATACCTTGATTTCAGCAAAGCCGAAGCATCTCACTTTATCTTCGTAGTCAAAAAGTAAGCATTTGGTCTAGATGATAGTGTGATTGGATGGAATTAGAACTGGTTGTTCGCCTGGAACCAAAAAGTGGTGATGTTGACTTGGAGAGGGATCTCTAGTGCAGTTCTCAGTTATCTGCCCTTTGTCTAGTGCTATTTAACATCTTTACCAATGAGTTGGATGAAGGTATATAGATAGCATGGTTGTCAAATTTGCAGATGATGCAAAGTTAGAAGGAGTACCTATAATGTTGGATGACATAGTCTGAATCTAAAAAAGCTCATGTAAGGCTTCTTTTTCTATTGGGGCAGAGTTGAAAAATGGATTCTTTATTAAATGAAAAAACAGAAAAATTGAAAAGTAGTAATGTTATCATTATTATCATTTTAGAAATGAGGAAACTCATGAGGTTAAATGATTCGCTCAAAATAAAATAGCTATTACATGGTGAAGCTCAGAACCAAGGTCTTCTGATTCCAAGTCCTTTGCTCTTTTCGCTATATCATGTCAATTCTCTATCTACACAAAAGTCTAGAAGCAGAAAAAAGAAGATTGGAGAAAATTTGCATGATAGAGGTAGAAGAGCTAGTCAGTAGAAGAACATCAGGTGATGAAGTCCAAAGAAGAGTTTAGAATCATTTGCTAAAAGTTATTAAAGTCTAAGGATAGAGCCAAGATGACAGAGTAGTATGAAGTACAGTTTGAACTCTAACCCATATCTCTTCTAAACAAATCTAGAAAATGCACCGAACTGAGGCTTGATCAGGAAATCCAAGAAAGAAATCACACTGAGCCATTTCTCCAGCCCAGTTTCATATAGGGAAGCAGACAGAGAGATCTGCAGACACAAGGGATGGGGGTCTAGCAAAGAATGGCTACACACAGCATTTCAAGCACAAGAAGAGGCTGTGCACCAGGGCAAAGAGAAATCAAACAGCTGTCACAGGGGGGCCTAAACTGGCATAGGAACAACTGCCAAGTGGCAGTTCTGCTGCTCACTATCCATTGCTAGGATCACTCTAAACTAGCAAAGATTTCCATTTGACTGATGGCTGATGAATCCAGTAGCAGTCCACTGAACCTCCAACAAGGGCAAACTTGCAGGCATGTTGCTGAAACTCAAACACAGTTCAGGAACTTGCACAGCTGAGACCAAGGGGGCAGAAAAGTCAGGCTTTGTTCTGGATCAGACCACTTTAGAAGCATGTAAGCTTGTAGGGCCCAGACAGCTGTTCCTCAGATTCTAGAATGACACAATACTCAATATCCTATGAAAGCAGCAGAAGGACCAGCCTAGACATTCCTACCCAGAAGAACAAAGAGCCTTGTCCTAATATCAAGTCCAAAGTCAGGAAGTAGGTTGGTAGAATGAGCAAACAAAAAAAGTCTCACCATAAAAACCTATTATGGTGACAGAGACACTCAAGACACAAATTTAGAAGAGAAGAATGACTCTAAAACATTTACAAGCAAAGCCCCAAAGAAAAACACAGCTTGGGCACAAGTTCAACTAGAATTCC